GGTAAGGGACGAAACTAAGCATAAGAAACAAAGATGTGTGTGGAAACGTTTCATAATGAAACCGAGTGAGGTTAAATGTGTGAAGGCCTTGGTGAAAGTTTTGGAGTAGGTGTTAAGTAAAGTAAATACATATTTATTTACATATTTATTTATTTGTGTTTTTGCTGTATTGCCTTGGAATTGTCCATATATGATAATTATATTTTCTAAAAAAAAATAAGTGAGGATTCAGATGCAAAAAGACTTCAGCAAAAATATGAAGTTTTACAGATTCTTTTAATTCTTTAAGTGCAGTGGCTAAAATGTGATGATATTGTTTTATAATACGTTATATATAACGTTATTGGGTTTAAGAGGGGACAATAAATGTATTTGTATATATTTATAACTGTATTTATTATCTTTGTAAGTCTGATATGCAGGATATTCTTTTTTTCAGGTAACTGGAATGGAACTGAATCTGTCGAAGGATGTGATTTCTTGCGGGGACGCAGGTATGACTTCTTCTCTTCATGACTATACAATAAATCATATATGCCTCATTAGAGTTACAAAACAAGCTAGCATGTAAAGCAGAAGGATGATGTATTCTACAAGTGAGGACCTACTGTACCTCTCGGTTTTGGCGCAAGGTCAGGACTTGTTGGCAAATCTCGCAGCACACAAGCTGTTCGTGTTCACAGACAGCTGCTTTCAGACGCAATATGTTTGATATGCGAGGTATTAATGCACACCGCATTTACGACATGACGACAGATCACAAAATGAGATGCAAATGTAAGTGTGCGAAAATCAAATGAGAGCAACAGCATTTGCAACAATGATTGAGTTTTATTTTCACCATCTATTTTCTTCTTTATTAATTGGTGTGTCTGGTTTATGATGATAATGATTTCCTGGTGAGTCGTTTTACCTTTTAAAAACAAAATCCAATAAGAATAGACGGAAAGCAAAAATAAAAGCAGCATAAGTTATATTTTTTTACCATTACGACAAATTATAAAAATGTTTATGTATTTAAAAGGAGGTTTCCAGTAAAGCTGGATTTAATCACAGACCAGCGAAAGACCGCCAAATGGAGACGTGAGAACTTTAGAAAATATCTGCGGTTTTTCCAAGATATTTAAATGCCAGACACGCACGTGAGACTGGTCGTATACAATCCTTTTCATTTTTACATGTTCTTTCAGGAAATCGTCATTTTAATAATAGAAGCAGCTTCAACATAGGGTCACGACTCAAATGGGAAACATAATTATTGTAAAGACAAAGAAAGACGTTTGGAATGCTGAGCATGTTTGTATTAACTGAGGCAGGAAAATCAGACTAAATGGACCTTCATTAGAGGTACAGTGGAATGTTGTTGCTAATAAACATATGCGTTTTAATTGGGTTTTGGAGGCTAATAACCATAAAAAAACATGAAAAAAATCATTTTTGTGAGCAACAAATGTGTATTTTTTTGAGGGATAATTCCATCTCAAATCAACCTTTTTCCCCCATACAACAATATGCACAAAATAATCCGACATTTTACAGCATTTTTATAGCTTTTCCTTAGTATGATGGTCATTAGAGGTTATTGTTTTATTTACACCCGCGTGTCTTCTTGTCAGGTTGTTTATTGGTTGTCAAACAGGCCTTGGACCAAGCAGGGAAACCATCACCAAGGAAATAATCAGCTCTGTCCTTCTCCAGTTACCCAGTGTGTCCAGTTACATATCCACTGCTGTCCTGCCTTTGAATCTGCTCGCCAGCTTTAGTTTTCTATAGGCCATGCTTTGTTTTTTGGCCCCGGTGGCTCTATAGGTTTACTTTGTTTGGTTGCCTTAAGAGAGGAAAAAATAGACCATTATTATGGGTGTTTGGTGTGTGATTAACGGCGGTCGCGGAGTTTATTTTCATTTCTTGGAGGCAAAATATGAGTGTTTGCATTTCCACTGGCCTTTAACCTGTCCTGCCGGATGGAAAGGCTTTTTAACTCATCCATCACACGCAAGTGCCCTCCAGAGCAGAGGAGGAGCGGGACGCGGGCAGGGATGCAGGCCGAGGAGGCTGGATATTTAGATTACCTCCATCCATCAGCCTGTAATATCTGCTGGAGGACAGAGGGGAATCTCCATGTGCTGTAAATCCTTTAATATCTCTATGGGGACTTTAAGGGTCAGCGGGTTTATTGGGACTTTTGTTCTACTATAGAATATTAGAAAAATTACTTTTTGAACAGTATACATTCTGATTCCCCTGCAACAAGCCAATGTGATGTTACAATGTGTTATTCAGTTGCTTTCCTAAACTTATTACAGAAAGACCTCAGTTTTTTGTAATGATAATAATCACAGTATATTGACCCAAGTGCACGCAATGCACCCACTAATCCCGTACTAACACGCACCAATTTAGATTTTCAGTCTATTCCTTCTCCACAACCTGCATAGTAAATACCACCTGCTGACACGATGGGATGACAAGGTCCTCGAGGTCACATTTAACAAAAATGCATCTTGCGCACAGAATCCCACTTATGCGCTCGTGTTTGGTTCACCCACTGCAGCTGAATTCATTTTTTTTTGCCATTTTGCGCATCTTTCTGCAGCTCAGAATATAAGTGCAGAGGTAGGGGATGTTGGTTTTCTGACCAATGGCACTTCAGTAAGTAAGGGGCGAACTTCTTACAAGCATTTTACTGCACACAACAGGCCATAGTGACGCACGCTGGAGATAATGAGGATCTGCTATTTAAATCAAAACCACTAACTAGATTGGCTGAATCAGTTTCTGGATATTCAGACTTCCTAACTATGAATTACTATGGAAGGCCTGTAATGTGTAAATGTAATACAGGCCCTTATGTTAGGCCCTTATGTTAGCCCCAAATCTCTCAAGAACATGCTGAGGTCGAACAGATGGAAAAAGCCAAATGATTGTTGAGAGCTTGCGCAATTGTCTTCTAAGAAAAGGCCTTCGGGGGAGTTTTCCGGTCAGACGGGGATCTCGTGTCATACGTCGCTGTCATACAATGGCCGAACATGCTCGAAACTGGCGCCGGTGAGAGTCCGAGTCCCAGACGGCAAGGCGTGAGCCGGTGCGCATTTACTCGACACAAACTGAGCCACTGCAAGTCAGCAGGTCAGCCGGTCTCACGTTGCAGAAGAAACTTACAGCTTTCAGTCTGTGGTTTAAAAAGTGTGTAAATTGACGTAATTTGTGTTTTGCACTTCGTTTTCTGTTAAATTATGCAGAGACACAACAAAATGTGTTCCTGGTTGGTCATTTAGTCTTCTCAATAGATTGTTTTTTGCGGTGGTGTGTGGAAGGTTTGGATTGTTTCATTATTCAGAAGGCAACTTCATTCCAGAAAAAAAACACATTGCTTATGGAAACAAGTTTCTGACTTCATTGGCAAATATTTCCCTTTATTTTAGTGAAAGAAATCGATTCCATCCTGAAATGTTGCTGTTGGTCTACACATGCGCAATCACACTAAAATAGCTTAATTATAAACACAATACGTAGATATTTGGGAATGTTATGTAAGAAACAAAGTAAATGACTGAAAATAAAAACTACCCATGATGCACCAGATCTATACCTTGAGTGATTACAACAAGGCCTCACCTGGAGCCAACCTGACTTTAAACTAATTGATATTTTTTGGCCTCCGTGTTTTGTGAGCATGCGCGTTTGCTAACAAAGAGAGAAGTTTGTTTCTACTGCAACTGCTGAAGTTTTACACACACACACACACACACACACACACACCAGAAAGTCTGCATCCGGACGGAGCTCTATTCTCCACACTGAGTGAAGGTTACATCTCACTTCGACCGCGTTGTGAGTCAGTGCCCGCACTGTGCATGCGCGTGAGGGATCAGAGACATAAATTAGACCAGAAAACACATACAAACTTTCCAACATCTGAGTTTTCAAATTCAACTCTTTCACAATTTTAACCAAAATATCCCTCTATACATGATTTGGTTTGGATTCCGAGTTTGCGTGAATACTTTGAGTCTCCACGGTGGTAAACCAGCTATAACGCGTAAAGCAGCCTGTTCAATGATGACCGCTGGGTCACCATCAGGAGCCATTCAGGTCTGTAATCAGATCATATTAGCGCACCATCAACCGGTTTCGTTCTGACATGTTCTGGATCCATCAGTATAGTCAGACCACATGAGTGTAGCTAACGTCAAAGTTTAAACACTTTTAATAAATGTTATTAATTATGTTGTAAGTGCCGCGCGCACAGATCCGCTGCTGTTAACATATTATTCAGCAACTTATTCGTGGATAAATCACTGATGTTTGTCTCTGCTCTGCCGGGCTGCCATTAGTCCCGATTGTTTATTTGTCAAAGTGAAAGCTGATAGAGCGACACTTGTCAGTTTACAGTGCGAGTCATTACTCAAACACATACAATAATCTTCATATCGTGCGCTTTTCATAGTGAGGAAACAGTAACTGGGCAGGCCCGCGTTGGAAGGCAAATGTTTACTCAGCTCGGTACATATCCGAGATATACAGTACATTGTGTGGCTGCGTGTGTGTGTAGAAGCGCACCCAGCTACGTTGCGCTGGACACAATTCAAACATGCCTGCAAGAATAAAAGGCCCATTCTACTCCTAAAGAGCAAAGCCTTGCATTGCGCGCTCCCGACGAATAGAGAAAAAATGAACGCTGTAAAAAATGTCTTTTAGCAAGTGAACAAACTTGTTTTGCTCAAATAGGACGCTTGTTACGTTCCACTCCACCTTAGACTGAAGAGATTTGCATGTGATAAAAAAAAACGTCTTGTAAATTAATGGCATCATTTTTCCACTTGTTTCCTCTTGACGTCAGACTTGTTTGGATGGATGTGGCTTTTCTTTTTTTCTTGCAGCGGGCTGGCGTAGTGGGTGGGACTCGCTAATTTTAGGGAGGTTATACGCAGCAGATGGGCTGGGTCTTGCGTGTGGGTTGGAGAGCCGAGCTTCCTCTCAATCGTAGCGGGCAGAAGCTATTTTCCCCTTGCAGCGGAGAGAAGGAGAGCGCACTGGGCCGTCACTGCTGTAGAGGAGGGTTTTTTTCTTTTCTTCGAAGTCCTTTTCTTCGTGGAAGAACTACACTTTGGTGGAAATCCTTCCCCGTGTGATTCCTCCTCTCATGTCGCAGTGTGGTGTCTGGCAGCGGGTGGATTTTTTAAGCTGTTGAGGAAAGCTTTGTGCACCCCCAGGATTCACCCTCCTCCCCCGTTTCCCCTCTTGTACGCATCCTTCTCTTCAAGGTGGGATGAATTTGGACAGAAACGCAGAGGCAGCGAGAGCACCGCCGGCCCGCGATGCGGCCCCCGCGTTTCATTTACCGAGAACTTCAAACAGCAGTCGGGAAACTTTAGAGAACTCAAGCAGCGAGTCCTCGGACACAGAGTTGGCAGGTACACAGTCAAGAGTGCTTTTAGCAACTCTATTCCTTCTTCTGAGTGCAATAACAGTTTATTTTACGTCTCCATACGCACGTTTACGGTGGGCTGTCAGAGACATCTCGACACTTTGATGGAGCGGAAAAGCAGACACTATTTTAGTTAACTTGTGTCTCGGTGTTTGTTTATTCTCACTGCGATGACGATTTATTTCCGCGTGTTACGGCGCAACAAGCACTTGGATAAAGTGCATCAAAAGCCATTTGCATTAAATCTTAATTTGGTCTATTTCTCCTCCAAAGTTGAATGCGCATAAATACAACAGAACGGGGAGAATAGTCCAGGTTTTTTGCGTGTTTTTTGTTTATTGCGCTGGCTGAAGCAAACGTCTTGGCAGGATCTCGGAGTCTGTCAGGGAAAAATGTGCAGAACAGCCTGGCCTGCTGTCAGTAAATGCATTAAAACCAACTGTAAATATTGGGCCCATCCACCAATCTAAACTAAAAGCCAGAAAGTCTGCAGGCTATTAACAATTCTTGGAGAAGCTTTTTGTTCTTTGACTTGACCACATTTTTTTAGCAAAACCTACTTGTTCTTCTGTCTCACTCCATATGAGGAAGATGGCAAATATGGAGGAATGTTTATTCATAATTTCCTTTTTTGAATTATTTATGGGGCATAAATAAAACAATAATAATGTTGTGGCTTTAAGTTTTAAGTTGATTTTTACTTTTGGCAAACATTCAAGAGTATTCCCTTTTTGTAATTAACCTTTGCACGTGTTGACCCTTCAGTTTAATGAGGTAATATTGTGAGAACACGAATACAAGATAGCAGTCGGGAGATAAGAGGAGTGGGCAGACCTCTTCGTAAAGAAAGTAATATTGATCCAAGTGTGTTTGAGAGAATCGATACAAAACTTTGTAAATATTTGGCTTTAATATGGCACTTCTCACCTGGGGCTTTATTTTGTAAATCATTTATTTATAGCTTTGAAGTTGCTCATTTCATGCTGGCAGAACTTTTTTGTTGTAGTTGCACGTTGGCGCCCTTACTTTCAGTCTGAAACGTTTAACTTTTAAATGAAAAGAAAATGGTAATAGTACAATACAATAGCGGCAGCATGCAATCGTTTCATCCCGATTTATGATCCGCAGAAAAGGAGAGGAGCGCTGAACACAGGAGCGATGACGGGAACGCGGACGATCCCAAGAAGAAGAAGCAGCGGCGGCAGCGGACTCACTTCACCAGCCAGCAGCTGCAGGAGCTGGAGTCCACTTTCCAGAGGAACCGATACCCGGACATGAGCACCAGGGAGGAGATCGCCGTGTGGACCAACCTGACCGAGGCCAGAGTCCGGGTAAGGGGCCAGCAGGGCCGTGCGTAATGCGTGCGTAAAAGACAATTTGGGAGATAAATCTCAACGTTATTGGGTGGGAAAAATCTTACCTAAATATATGAAATAACTCCAACAAACATGAACCAAATAATCAACAAAATGTTTAGGGAAATAAATAAATAATTCTAAGAATATTAAAGCAAAAAAGTAATTCTGACAACAAAAAAACTTGGAATTACCATTTTAATACGAGAGTCACACTGTGTATGATTGGTGCTCCGAATTTATACAACTTATTGTTCCAACTAACATTTTGATGCAAAATTGACCATCGACTTGCCCAAACCAAAGCTTTTTTGAAAGATATTGCAGATGAATCTCCATGATTTTGTTGCTCATTTCCTCTTCCAGTATTTGAATTTCATATCAGGACAAGAGACAACATATTGATTTTTTCTTTGCGGTATTGAGGTATTTATAGTGTTGCTTTTCGCTTGCTGCCAACTGAATGAAAGAGTGAATATCCAGCCTTTTCACAGAATCCATGTAAATTACTGCAGTGACTTTGTTAGAAACTAAACGTGTCATGGTTCTGAACGTGTTATGATTCAGAGACACTTAAGTAAATCCTTTGACAAAAAAAAATAACTGGGGGATTTATAAACTGCAGCGTTAACAGATATCAAGTTGCAGTCATCTATGACTATCAGCTACGGTGCATCCAAAAAAATAGGTCTCCCATTATTATAAAACACGTGCGTAATTCTCAACACCACGTGCATTTCTGACACGAGCAGCACTAAAACAACACATTGGCGTCAACACATTTCATGTTGAAACGTAAGCAGAAATGGAAGCCGTCTAACTATTTGGATCTACTGGAAATTACATTTCATTTCTGGAGTCAATGAGTGAAGTTCAAATAGTGTAGCCTTTTATTTTGGCGGAAGAAAAATAAAACAGTTTAAAAAAGGTATACGTGGCGTGACATCAAGCAGCCTGAATATTTCTGATTCCTATCTCAACATTTATGAAAAATGTTTTGACATTTGAAAGTGGTTGGACTTGACCTTTTAAGGTCATCGGTGTTTAGTCGAGTTTGACAGATTATATATTGAGATTGAATGAGATTTGTGGCTCATTTATTTTGAATGTTACCATCGTAAAATAGCTTAACTAATGATTGTTCTGCATAAAATGCCATTAAAACCCAAAGTATTATTATTAAATTAAATATATTATTGAATTTGTATTTGTTTATTTATTTATTTGGCTCGGTACAGGAAACAGAACAGGTGGTGCAGAGAAACGCAGCGTTTCCTCCGCAGCTCTCCGTCGCATCGCTCACGTCTTTGTGGACAATTTGTCGGCAGCACCCTGTCCCCTGCGCGGCTATAAATAGCCCGTCCGATGGTTCCACTTGTAAACTGTTTCTACTGTGTATTAAAAAATGACTCGCAGAGTGCAAAGTGACGGATATTTTGTCAGGCTTCGATAATGCGTGAGGAGATCCAGAGGCGCGCGCGTCTGATCCATGCAGTTACAGTTTGATTCATGCTGTAAACTTGTTTTATTTTTGGGATGTCTGACCTATGCTGCACACACACGCCGACGTAGGCCTCACGTGTGCTACGCAGAAAATTATTTCATCACTAGACATGAAGTGATGCAAATTTAAATACTGAATAGTTACCTTCAACACATCTTTGGCTCCATAGTTAAAACACATTTATGTTGAAATGTAACTCTTTTATTTGATTCAAGTCATCAAATTTAATCACAGAAAATATTAATATTTGAAGATACATTTCTCACAAAGAATAATTATTTAAAGAAAAAAACGTTGTGCGATGATTGAAGAGAAGTTGGTAATTTAATTATGTTTCTATCTTTGCACGCTTGGAGCTCAACACTTCCTGCGCAAATGACTTAAATATGTTGCTTTAAACAAAGGCTTTAATAGACAATTAAAAACACGTGCAAAGCGTTTGTTTGGAAGAATAAGACTTTCACAGTTTCGCCCTCCGCCCTATATATTCACTTTCGAGCAAATTAAAGGGGACATTTACTGGATTCATTTAAAGTTTAAGTTTCTACTGGACTCTAGAGCAGCTTCTTCTGTAATTTAAACGCCGAGCTGGTAAATGTGCAGAGCAAATGTGTGAGTGAGGATTGTTATGTGAGAAGACAAATAGGACCAGGTTTGACGTGTTCACTGGAGGGACCAGAACACAAATCCACAGTCAGGACTTGAGCACTCAAAAAACAGAAGATTGACTTTCACTTGAGGAAAGTGCATTTTTCTAAAATTATAACTGATTTTTGTGGCCATATATGATTAAATATAAATGTACAGAGCCTAACTGAAAACGTTGACCACGGAGTAAATACGCCTCTCCGTGTGTGCGTCTGCATGTGCGCACGATTGAAACTACAGTCTGGTCCTTTTATGCTGTGTTTACAAACTGTTGTAAACAAATCTTTAGGCAACTGAGGACATTAAACAGCTGTATCATCAACGTGGGACTGCAGCTTCACATTTGGAATTTAGCTGTAGGGCTATTTAGTGTAATATATATATACATATATACACATATATGTGTATATATATATATA